GGGATGCCACTCTATGCTATGGAATACCATCACTCCTTTATTCTTGACAATTAGTTTATATAATCAGATATGTGAGTAACACCATCCCTGACAGATTTTTTGAGGATCATTTTTCTGATACCGCTTCCAATTCATATATATAACTGAATCAATGAGGGTTCTAGGAAGAAAGACATAGTATGGAAAGAATCTAATGAAATGAAAGGACTGTTTATAAAATGAGGATAAAGTTTGGAAAACCAGTAAGACAGTGAGGTGACCCAAAACTAGCAACAGTGGGAAGCCATTATCATCCTTCCTCTCTCCAAAAGGACAGATGTCCAGAAGGGATCCTGTAAGAGCTACGCACCTGTAGGAGGGCCATAGTTGGCACTGTGGCTTCTCCTGTTTATAACACTCACCTACCCTAGGTACAGTACAGGCAAACTTCAGGTTCCCTTCTGAACATTTTACCTATTGTAATGTGAGAAAACTAATAAGAAACAGCGTAAGATTATTTGTAATTTATCTTTTCTTAGCTACTGAATGTGCAGACAGAACCAGTTTGTGAGTTGAATATAGAAACCTTTCTACCAATTTTCATACAAACCTTAAAATCATCCTGAGGATAAAAGTTAAGAGAAACAGCTTCTTGACACATCCAAAAATCAATTCAAGCTCTATAAAACATGCATGTGCATGCTTTCCCCACCTCATCTTAAATCTCTCCTCAGAACATCCTGATTTTTTCATTCTGAATAAGGTTCAAGTCCTACTGCTATCCAAAACAATATAGAATTGCCTTATACTTTGAAAACAGTTTTTGCCTCAACATACAAGAAGCTTCGATTAGTAACAAAAAGAATAATTTAATATTAACTGTTTGAAAATCGAAATAATAACTGTCACAGTGCCTCTCAATATTTAATTGATTTACATATAACAGATCTATGGAGCAGTCAGTTCTACCACATAAAATTATATTTTGCAAGTAATTTGTGTTGGAAGATTCATGAAGAAATCATATTATCTGAACTTATATATACTATAGACTAAAATTATTGTCTTTGTGCTCTGTCCTATCATACTTGGAAGGTTTTAGTGAGCCATTTTCTCTTGGATAATAAATTGTGAACCTTGGCTATGTAGAAAATAGAGAAAATTTATGACCTCGGGCTTTTTGTTTGTTTTAGCCTTGGCTAAAGTTAGAGATGAAACTGGAGGCCACAGATTACCATTCATATTTTATTGGAAAATTTTGAAAGAAGGGGAAAACACTACAAAGCAGAGCAAACCATTCTAGTTTATGAATAAGAGTATACTTTAGGAATAATGTGAATAAGAGTAAAAGCTTGAAAACATTCATATTCAGATATCTTTATTATATTGATCAGAGCAAAAGTTTGAGCATTTATATTCAGATATTATGAAGACATTAATACTATGCAGTAATCCAAAGACACTAAAAATACATGATAATCAGTTTCAGATGAAATGCCTATATTCTATGCCTTGTCATTATAAAATTGGATAGTTTGTTAGAGTTTATTACAAGGTTAGCTATAATAACTTACTATTATTATTTTAATTTTGGAGTGGTACTGGGGATCGAACTCAGGACCTTGCACTTGCAAGGCAGGCGCGGTGCCACTGAGCTAAATCCCTGGCCCTATTATTTAAATTTTTATTGGTATATATTTGCAGTACATAATGATTACATTCCTCGTGGGGAGTTGGTTCATGTACATAACACGTCTCAGCTGTTTTCTCATTTCTTCCCCTCCTTTCTTTCCCTTCCCTCCACCTCTTGGTCCCTTTCTCTTTTGCAAAAGATCTGTCTCCCTTTTTCCTATGATCTATCTTTTATTTTGTTCTTTAATTATCTATGCTTTGATGTCTCATGTAAGAGAAGCAATGCAATAGTTAAGCTTATGTGTCTGAGTTATTTCAATTAACAGTATGGAGAGGTGCAACCATTTTCCTACAAATGACTCATGTTTATCCTTACGGCAGAGTAGTACTCCACAGTGTATAGATGTCATGTTTTCTTTATCTATTCCTTTGTTGACAAACATTTAGGCTGCTTCCAAGATTTAGCTGTATTGCTATGAACATGGGTATACATGTATCACTGATATATTATTATAGACAGCTAAGTTAGATAAAAATTGACAGGCAGTCAGAGGGATTGCCCTCAAAGGAATCAGTACAAAAGATGAGAAACAGCAAAATTGTGGCTAGAGACAAACAGAAAGACAGCCAGGCCCACAAGCCTCCCCAGAGATAGACAACAGCTTAAAATTGCACTATAGTCAGCACCACCTGGTTCAGTGAGCCTAGATAAGGCGTCAGGTACACAGGTGGGTGACCAAAACCTCCTGACCCATATTCCTATCCTTTCCCCAAATGCCTTTGATTCTTTTACCTCCGATAAACTAGTTAGTGATACCCACCACATAAGCTCACTACGTGCCTGGCTTCTCTACTGGATCAATATTATTAGCTAAGCTACAATACTTGTAATCCTATAGGTTGATTGTAATTTGACCCACAGTTACCCAAGTTGTGATTTTGTGTATAAATTACCCCTGGACAAAGAGTCTCAGTGACAAACCACTTTCAGGACCCCTCTTGTCTCTCAGGAGTTTTATCTCAATAAACTTTTCCTACTCTTAACCTCCTTTGTCCTTGTATCCATTTTTTGGTTGTTGAGAGACACAAATTCAGGTGAGTGACACCAGAAAGGTTGAGGATCACTTCCCTGTGACAATATGATGTCTTTAGCTCTTTCGGGAAGACACCTGGAAAGGAAATAGCTGGGATAAATGGAATTTCTATATTTAGTTTTTTGAGGAATCTCCTTACTGATTTCCACAGTGGTTGTACTTGTTTACATGGCCACCAACAAAATGGAAAGGTTTTCCCTGCAGCCTGTCCACCATTTGTTATTATTTGATTCCTTGACAACAGTCATTCTTTCTGGACCAACATGGAATCTCAATCTTGTTTTAACTTGCATTTCTCTAATGGCCGGAGATGTTGAACATTTTTTCATGTCTTTATTAGCCATTTGTTCTTCTTTTGTGCTCAAAGTGTAAAATCAAAGTTATTCATTATACATTTATTATAAGGGAACTGAATTTTAATTTCTTTACCAACCAACCCACATCACTAGTTTTGTTAAAATTAACTCACCCCATACTTTTAAAAGCTCTAAAATTCTTTTGGAGGTAATATATAGCAAATGTTTTCCTCTTTACATCATTTGTGGTACAGTAAAATAATGATAATACCAGACATATTTTTAAACCACCACATAGAATCTTGACTTCTTCCATGCTGTTTCTGGGTTGATGGTCAAAGCATATGGATGTGCCACTACTGGCAACATAAAACATCTGCACTCTACGATCATCTGGAAGCCTATGACCTCAAAAATTTTACTGCTTAATTCATTTTAAATGTAGCTTCAAGAATAACATGCTTAAAGGATTGTCAGAAGGATACTTATCCTTGTTTCAAACTGGACATTCAGAATTTGACTCATGAGGTAAATTTTTATGAAGTCTTAGCATGAACAAAAGATGTGCCTCTCTTGACAAATCTGACTTATCTTTATCTCAAAAAAAATACAAAACCCTTTGGCCAATTCGTTGCATTGTTCTGGCTTCCTGTTTTCTTTCTCTTTAACCTGTCAGTTTCCTCAATTATTTTTATTTTGTGTGAAAACAGGTATATATTTTCTGTATGCTGCTTAAACTCCCTGTGGAATAATGCCGTTATAATAGGAAGAGATAATCTCAGACTAGAAAAAGGGTTGATGCTTATAGGGCTATTGGGCATAAAAACCCTAAAATGAATCTAAGACAGTAAACAAGTCCTAAGATGGTAAGCAAGATACCACGAGAACATTTGAAGAGATTTTGAGTCATCGAAGGCAAAAGTATGTACCCACCAAAACAAGTGCCAAAAAGTTTTGAATGAAGAAACTGTTCAACAATTTTTTTTCAATGCAGCAAACACATAGACTCTGCCCGAGAGCATGTAAGTCTGGGGTTACTTACGTTCCCTAAATAAGTGCCCTTTGTACATGAAGCACAAGAAAATATATATATTCCCTGTGGTTTTTAAGTGTGAATTTAATTTCTATATTATACAATTGATTACAGTTAACAGGAATAAAGCATATACTTCCCCCAAACTGAATTTAATTAATGTTCAAAGCCACTTATCAACATCTGAAACTTGTTCTTTTGTGATATTTTTCAGCAGAATATTATTTGGCTTTTTTGTTGAAAATCTCTACTGGACCCCAGAAATAGGTTGGCAACCTAATTTCTACCTCCAGAATAAGACTGGAATTGAAATTGCAAACCAGCTTGTGAAATAGCCGAATTACTTCCCTCAATTCCTGTTCAATACTTTGTCAATGGCTAAGTATTTCAAAACCTCTTGTATTTGATAACTCCCTTTACAGCCCTGTAAAACGCTTTATGGATTTTTTTGGGGGTGTCAAATGCCAAATCTTATCCTCTTCGAGCTACAGATAAGGACTCTGAGGTGTTGTCAATGCCATGTTTTGTCCCAGATCACTTCCTGAGAAAGTGGCAGAGCCAAAACCAGGCTATCACGGTCCCTGACAGTTTTAGCTTCTGCAGAATTCCTGATCCCATCAAAGGTGCAACACCTGGGCTGTGCCCAACAGGGACAAAGGCCGTTGAAACTTCCTAGGAGCTGGGGCTTTCAGGAATGTCTCAGTGGAAGACAGGTTGTGCAGGTGTGCAGCGCAGCCTCTCGCTGGCACAGCCGGGAATGCTTTGCAGAACCGGAAGGTGCAGTAGGGTGAGCCGCGACTGCCTTAGCCTGGAGTCCCCCTGTCGCTCCCCGGCGCCCCGCCGCCCCGCCGCCACTTTCCAGCAGGCCCCGCGCCCGCCACACACCTTTTTCCTACTGGCCACGGCGGGCTGCGTTCGTCGCCCTCGTCCCCACCCGCCTCTCCACCCGTCTCCCTCCAAGCGTACCTGCCGAGTCTGGGGACGCTTCGGCGGAGATCCACGAAGGCCCGGGGGTCCCCGTCTCTGACTCTGAGAACGAGTGGGGGAGCCCGGGCCCCCGAAAGCGCGCGCCGGGCCGGGGGTGGAAGGCGGCACGGCCGAGAGGGTGTCGTGGCCGCCGGCGGCCTCAGGGCGGCACTCTGGGCCCGCGGCCGGCGCGCTCGGGCGGGCCGCTGGGCGCCGACCCACACTGGTCAGGAACGTGTCTCCCGGTGACGCAGCCCGGGGTGGGGAGCGTGGTGCGGCGGCGGCGGCGGAGACCGTGCGCGCCTCGGCCGTGTCGGAGAAGGCTCTTGGGCGGCGGCAGGCGCGGGGCGCGGGGAGCGGGGCGTGCGGCGGAGCGCGCGGGGGAAGGACGCGGACGCCGTCGAGGAAGTAGGTCCGGGCCGCGGCGCCCAACAAAGAGCGAGCGGGCCCGCCCCCTCAGGTAGCGAGCCGGCCCGGGGCCCGGCAGGCGGGCTCGCGGGGAGACCGGGCGGCGGCGGAGGGGGAAGGGCCGCGGAGCGGACGCGGGCTGAGGGCGCCGCCGCGGATTGAGGCACAGCGGCTGCTGGGCCGCCCGGGGTTGGAGCCCGCGACGTTCAGCCGCCTGTGCTCTTCCCCCGTGCAGGCCGAGCCCGGGCGGAGGCTCCATGTTGGGAAGCGGCGCCGCTCGCCCTCTTTAGCGGGAACCGGGGCGCCGCGGGCTGAGCCGGCGGGGCCCGGGCCGGGAGCGAAGATGGAGGCCCCGCTGCGGCCTGGCGCGGACATCCTGAGGCGGAATCCGCAGCAGGACTACGAGCTCGTCCAGAGGGTCGGCAGTGGCACCTACGGGGACGTCTACAAGGTGAGGCCGGCCGGGCCGGTGCGGTCGGCGGCGTCCCAGGGACCGGGCCCTTCTGTGGCGCGGCGTGGGCAGCGGGAGGATGCTTTATTGTTGCTTTTAGGGAGGAAGTGGCTCGGGTCTCTTTTACTCCGTCCCCAGCTCCCCCCGATCATGGCTTGTACGAATCCCGAGCAACCAACAGAACTAACCACACGGTTGCCAATCACGGTGGTTCTTTTTTTGTGGTTTGAAGGCTTATTTATGGTATAGAAGGATGTTCCAGTGTTAGCTTGGAAACGCTTCGTGGGAGGCAGGAGGACTGGAAAGAATGTTGACTTTCAGAGATTTGCTTTTTAAAAAATGTTTATTTTAATGGACGAGCTTGTCTTTTAGAAAAGCGTGTGAAACCCTATTTCTAATTTGTTTTTTTACCTGTAAGCAGTCTCCTACGGAGTCATAACGACATGTGTACAAACATTCCTTGTAGACCTTTGAACATTTGTAGCTGGTTAGTGAATAGAAATACGATATTAAAATTTGCTAGATGTTTTCCTACCTCCAGCAGCTCTTTTCTTTGAAATTGCTAACATTCCATGATCACTGCCTGTTTTTATTGTTATTGCTGTTATGCTGCTGTATTACTTAAGACAAATGAGGGTGAGTTACTCATAATTTAGGGTTAAAAGACAATAAAGAGAAGCAAACCAATTCCCTAAATCAGCTGAGCTCTTGAAGGGTGAAGAGGAAAAATTGAGATTGCCTTATGCTATTCTTTGTTCCAAAAATGGACGTATTAAGGGAAAGTTTCTTTGCTTTTTGCAACAGCTTTATATGTTGGATTTTGATCATGTGATATGTAATCCATTATTCCAAACAGCAGTCCTGTATATAGCTGAAATGGCTTTGTGTCATATGGGTAATTAATTCCTCGTGGTTATATTGTTTTGCTTAGGTGGTAATAAGGAAGGAAAATATACTTTCTTCCTACTTAATTGCTTTTAATTTTCTCCATATTAATAGTAATAACTCAAGGTGGTGATAGGGTGGCTCTGGCACTGTTTCATTCTGAGAGGAACTCTAATGGATGGACTTATTCCTTAAATGGGCATTTGAATCTTTATACTAGGCACTTATTTAATTGTGAGCAAGGTCCTAGCTCACATCTTGTGACTATCCTTGAATTCAAGTTGCATGTGGTTAGCTCCTCATTGTTTATCTATGGATTAGCCATTTTGTGGAATGCCTGTTAAAAATTGAAATTCCTGTTGGCCTTCTCAGTCCCTTTTTTTCTTTTCTTGATCATTTTTGTCTTATGATTCACTATGTATTAGAACAGTTCAGTTCATGTTAATTATACAGTAGTCTAAATGCCAGTTCTTGCATATTTTTCTTTACTACATGAAAATTTGAAGTGAGTATTTTCCTCATAAAGATCCTAATATTTCTACCTCATTTCTTTATAGATAAAGCAACTCTCTGGAGCAGGATTTTATTCTTGCTAGGGAAAGCAAAATTATATTAAAGGAACAGGAAATGCCTACGTTTTACCTTCATACTTCCATGTCTTGTGGCTGTCTTCCACAACTGCCAGAGGATCAGAGATGATTTATCTCATACACACACACATACACACACAGCCTTTTGCCTCCACCTTTCACCTTCTCCACCATCCCCTCCCTTCACAGTCATGCTCGCACACAAGTACGCAGTATACTCATTGTACACTAGGTCAGCCTCTGATACCTGAACATCCTCAAGCACGTCTCCTTGTCTTTTTGTTTTCCTTTGTTCTAATTACCTGGAGTCACCTCCCTGCCCCCATTTCCCCCTGTTGCTATCACTCCTGTCCCTGAAAACCTTATTTAAATTCTGCAAAGCTTTCTAGCCCTTCTCCCTTATCTCTTTAACTTCATTTGGTACTCTCTCCTCCCTCATTTTACTAACCACACTGGCCTGCTTGCTATTCCTTAAACATAATAAGCATCTTCCCATTTTTGGACCCTTGTTCTTGCTGTTTCCTCAGTTCTGAGTATTTTTTCCTAGACAGCTACATGGCTTCCTTCCTTCCTCCTTTCCTTTACACTTTCTGCCCTCTTTTTTTCATAATTTTTTTTCTTTGTAGTTATCGCCAACATAATGTTTTACTTGTTTTTTCTTATCTGTCGTGATCTATTAAAATACCCCAGGAAGGTAGTGAGTTTTATCTATGTTGCTCCCCACACTGCCTCTAACAGCACCTAGAATTATACTTGGCACAGTGTACGTGCTTTCTAAAACTTGGGAATGAATAAATGACTCTCAGGAATTCCGACACGTAGCTCTCTAAGCATCTGCCTTTGACATTACAACTGTTAAGTTACCATTTAATAGGGCCTGGGATTTAGCTCAGTGGTTCTGGACCAGCCTCATAAGCGCAAGGTCCCGAGTTCGATCCCCAGTATCCAAAAGAAAAGAAAAAAAAAGTTACCATTTAATAGTCTGTATTCCATGCCTTTTATAATACCCTGCATATGTGTTTTTACGACAAATGTCAATGAGTTATCTGGAAAATATTTCTGAAAAACTATTTCATAGCATCTTCATTTTCAGTAACCTAAGTACTGAGGAATTTTTGTTGATTTATATTTACTCTTTTTTTTTTTTTGGTACCAGGGTCGAACTTGGGTCCTTCTGCTTGCGAGACAGGTGGCGGAACCACTGAGCTAAATCCCCGGCCCTATATTTACTCTTTAACATGCCTTTTAAAACATTTAATGTTTAGGTTATAGTATTAAACTTTGTGAGCTTTAGGCAATTACAGTGATTTTACTATTTATCATTATGTTTGGGATAAACTTTCAAGACATACAAACTAGTAAAATAATTACAGTGACAAATAAAAAACTATATTAGTCACTTCTCAATTTCTCAATATAATCCTCGCTTTTTTTATATCTGAGAAATATTACAAAGCAGGAGTTTTTCAAAGGATCGTAGCTTGGGGTTCTTTGTAAAATTTTTTTTTGGTACCAGGGATTGAACTTGGGTCCTTGAGCTTGCGAGGCAGGCAGCAGAACCACTGAGCTAAATCCCCGGCCCCTTTGTCAATTTTTAAATATTATTTAAAAGCACAGATCCCTTCTGAAACTCCTGTCTTTCCTTAGAAATCCATAAGCAAGGAAAACTCAATCTTAAACTAGCTGTCTGAAAGAAGAGAGGAATGTAAAGATTCATCTAGATAAGTGGACCAAATCATTGAGGGGTAGAGCAGGAAATGGAAAAAAAAAAACCCCAGAAGGAATGTGGTAGAGTACAGATGAAGGATTAAATTTCAACTAAGCAATTTTATTTTAAATTACTATAAATTTGTGAATCTGCCAACAAGAAGGGGAAATCTAACGATTTAGTTTCTCTACTACATTCTGTCCACAGTGATCTAGAACAATTGTAGTATCATGATAACAGTTCATAATCAACAGTACAAGCCATTTGGGCAGTCTTTCTCTAGTTTTGCATCAAAATTGTTAGGAATCTATTTTTAACCTTTTGTGAGATATACATTTTAGATGTATTTTTTAAAACTTTTTTTTGCTTTTTCTGATTCATTATAGAAGTATGGCATATTTAGTCGCAGGGCAGGATTATCTCCTGTGTGTCATTGTGCTGTAGCTTACTAACATTTATTGAATGACATTAGAAAGTTACCCAGAGATGAACACTGTTAATAATTTGAGTTATTACAGGCTTTTTTTCCTAAATATTTTTAAGCCAATGTGTTTCCCAAACGGCTTTTAGATTTAATTTATTGGTGGAATCATGATATAGTACCTTTTTTATTTGATTAGTGGATTGGTCAGCTTTTTGTCACTGTGAGCAAATACCAGAGGAAAGATTTATTTTGGCTCATAGTTTCAAAGGTTTCAGTCTGGTCATCTGGCTCCATTGCTTTTAGGCCTGTGGCAAGGCAAAATCACAATGGCAGAAGGGCGTGACAGAGAAAACCTGTTCTCTTCATGGCAGCCAGGAAACAGAGAGAAGGAAAGAGCTGGGGGGAAATTACACTCTTCAAAGTCACGCAGTCAGTGATCTAACTTCGTCCAGTTAGGCCCTGCTTCCTAGAAGCCCATTCTGCTGTGTGTCGTTAGTGGGTTGATCCATTGGTGAGGGTAGCACCCCCACAATCCAGTCACCTCTTCTCGACAGCTCTTAATCTAGTCAAGTTGACAGTCAAGATTAACTGTCACAATTGGTATGACCAACATTTTTCCTAGTCATTAAATATTCCTCAGAAATACTACTTTTAAAGAATCCATTGAATGAACCTTCATTTAACCTTTTTTTTTTTTTTGGTACCGGGGATCAAACTTGGGACCTTGCACTTGCGAGGCAGGCAGTGGAACCACGAGCTAAATCCCCAGCCCATTCATTTAACCATTTTAAGTTACATATAATTTCTAATTTTAAGATGTTTTTGCAGTTATAAATGACAGTTGTGTAGAAGTGTTTGTCATGTAGTCTTACCATTTTTGTGGGCTCCTCTGAATGCTAAATGAGTAAGGTCTGCTGTAATGAGTCCCTCATATAAAGTGCCCTTCCTTTCTTTCCCTCATATTAACAGTCACAATTATGGAATGGGTTTAGGCACTTTGAAACATAACCCAGGATTCCATTGTAAAGAAGCAAAGCTTGGCATAGTACGTCACAACAGTTCTGTAAGCATCCATTCGTTTAAGAGACATTGAGGGTGACTGTGTATTAGGGGCTGGAGATGCAGACACAGAAAGTACACTTATCATCAAGGAATGTGTAATTTAGTCAGGAAAGCAGACATGTAAGCAGCCATAATTTGATAAGTGCAATAGTAGAAGTGGAAAAATGATCAACTATGTTTAATAGAGATGAGGGGAGAGGAGAAGACATGAGTGAACAAGGGAAGATTACCAGTGGAATGGTCACTAACTAGGAATTTTTAAATGGAGCATGGGTTCAAGGCAATAGGATAGGACGAGATACTCCAGAGTGTGAGAATGGTGGTGCAGACA